TAACTTTTGTAACCGCGAAACTCTCTGAAAACGACCCCAGATAAAGCTCGCTCTAGAACACTGAACCCCATAAAGATAATTCTTTTCTCATGGGTACAAAATTTTCCACTTAATCGTTCCTTCGTTTCTCTTTCCCTAATGTTGTATCTTTGTAACTGTCTGTGTCTCCAGCAGTAAAGGCACGGAAAATGAATATACAGGTTTGCGCCGACAGGGTTCTTACCACTAGACGCAACATTTTCACGAGTTGTAGTTTCTAAGCGTATTTCGAAATAAACCAAAAACCTGTACAGAGTGATATATACAAGGATCATATTCCGGGGTCATATTTCCCTATTCCTAGGCGTTAAAATGAAAGAAAAATTTCCTTCTTAACGTCCTTCCTGTCCAAAATCTTCACAGCAACGAAACATCAAATGCTTGAATAACGAAAGGAGAAAAAATTACCAAAAGAAACAGTTTTATTTATTCATTGTTCTACGCGATGTGCAAACTCTCAGCACATTCACCATCCATGCCTAAAACAGTATTCCAGTCCTCTACGTTTTACGGGATCACTTGCGGTCGACAATGGGTATCATTTACGGTCTACTTTGGGGATCGTTTGCGGTACTGCACAGAAATAGGAACCCGAGACTAAGAAATTCGTGACTCGCTAGGCACGTGCTAGTCTAAAATTGATACTAAAACGAGGCTTGGCGCAAAAAATGCATATTATTATTCATTCAAACAACTTCTCCATGGTAACACTTGACAGTTATAAGAAAAATGGATAAACTGATGGATTTCACGTGCCTGTTCCTCGGCAAATTTAGGATCGAAGGGGATGCTTTGTCTTGAAGATATTCTTCAAGTATGAGATTTAGTTTTGCTGTTTTTGCCATGCTTTTAGGTATTAGATCAAGGTAGGTATTGAGAATTTCCTGAACTTACTTTAGAAAAAATGGGTTTTCCCTAGCTTCAACTCAAACCACACCTCCGTCAGTTGTCATGTCACAATATGCCTTAAAAGACCTATTAGTCCTTCCAGGGTCAATCCAATACTCCCCGTCGCCATTGGAGGTACCTAAGTCCTTGATTTCTTTGCAGGATTGAGCGGGATCGTAGGAAACGAGCCCGCGTGTCGCTACAACAAAATAGATATCAACATCAGAGATCAACTTTGAAAAGAGACTCAAAATCTGACTAATAATATACAGGTAAACGGCTTCCCGGATCTTGCTTTATTCATTCAGATGAGCAGTGATTCCTGTTGCTGGCAGTCAACTTAGAGTTGAGGCTACTAGGGAGGAAAATCATTAAAAATAATAATGCATGTGAACAGATTTCCCGGCTTAAGCCTGTACGTACTGTAGGCTAATTCCAGTTCACAGCTAAGAATCCACGACAAATGTGTTTACCTCAGTCTAATATTAAAAGCAGAGAATGCGATAATTGCGTGTTCTACCGAGATATTTACCTTTACACTTCTTGCCATCTCCCTTGTAACCAGGTTTACAGGTGCAGGTGAAAGACCCTTCAGTGTTCTTACATAACGCATTTATGGATTTTGCTTGTACACTCGTCGATATCTAAATGAAAGTCATAAACTGCATTTATTTTACCTTTAGAAGGTAAGTAAACTTATAATTCTTCCTTTACATTCTATTCTTTTAAATCTACGTTACAGATGAACACGACGGCTTGTGTGGCTATGGTAGTGTTATAAAATTACCTGGACAATTTGTTCAAAAGCTGAATAAGGCTATCCGCTAGATAAATCACCATCCAGTAGATAGCGCAGTTAGTTTTACTAATACTTATCCACTGTGTAGTGATTTATCTGATGCAAAGCGCTATCCAACGTTTGAACAGTCGGTGCCAGGGAGAATAAATACAAGCAATGGAATGAACGCACGTGCTGGATGTATAAACTATATCGTTAGGTGATCAAGAACTTAGGGTGGATTTCCACTGCCGCGTGATATTCATGTGCGTACGCACGTAAAATGTACGCGCGTAAATATAATAGAGGTAGTCAGGGCCCTGGAGGCAATGTATGAAAGGCCGCGCGTAAAAGTTGAGCGAGGTTCAGGTTTTACGTTTACGCACAACCTTTGATACATAGCCGTTATTTTATATACGTACTTAAAACTAAAGAGCCTACGTACGTAAAAATTACGCGACGCTGGAAAGCCACCTTTAAAGAGCGCTAGATAGATACCTCTACACTTCTTCCCATCTCCCTTGTAACCGCGATTGCAGGTGCAAGTAAAAGACCCCTCAGTGTTCTTACATAACGCATTTTTGTTACAGTTATGGGTTTTGCTCTTACACTCGTCGATTTCTAAAAACAAAGACAAAATTATAAAACATTGATTTCATGCGCCGAAAACAACAAGGTAATACCTTCCTTGACATTTCCTCCCGACTTTCCTCATTCAGACATGTCAGACCCCTGGGGGCTTTTTATTGCCTTCAGTCTGAATTGGGGCGACCTTGAGGCCTAAAAGTGAAATTTTCATTTTCGAGTCTTTTTTAAATCAACTCAAACTTTTACGTTATTACCAGTGAAGTTCTTAAAGTCAAAACAAATATGTCCCCAAACGGAAGTTCGTAATTGTTTTGATTGAAGGAATGAAAATTCGTGTAAAAGGTTGTTCCACACATTAGTGCAAATATTCTTTTACTGCTTAAAATTCCGATTAAATACCCACTAAGGGCTAATTAGAAAGTTTCGACCACAAAAAATCATAACAGTTCTGTGTATACACTATAAAGCATATTTATTTAGTCTATAAATAAAATCAGAACAGAGGACAACTAAGTTGATCAGTTTGCGAACAAACGGGCAAAATATGGAAGACATTTATAGCAAACTTCAGTACTTACCAACACATTTGCGGCCATTTCCAGAGTATCCAACTTTGCAAGTACATTTGTATGAGCCCGCAGTATTCTGGCAAGCAGCATTCACATTACATCTGTGATCGTTAGTTGTGCATTCGTCAATTTCTAAAAGAAATCACGGTGTTTCATTCACTCACATGTTCTATAGTTGATAACCTTGCTAAGTGCTTATTTTCTGAAATGATATTCTCAACTTGAATTCATCATAAAACTCTTGAAAAGAAAAAGCGAAATTTCTATGAATTTTACCAAACACTGGACACAATGCTTCCACCTCACGTTATGACACCTTAACAACTGTCTAATAAGCTCGGTCGCGAGCCCATTTTTACGTTGACATAGTCGGTCAGGTTTGAAACATAAACTGAAAAATAGTTAATAAAAGTGGAGTGCCTTCGAAGCCCTACAAACGTCTTTATTATACCAGTATATGTTTTTTTTGGTTACCTTTTTTTGGACTCATCCGACGTTGTGAAAAGTTCAATAGCATTCCTATCATTTTGATCCTTTTCACCAATAAAATCGTAGCCTGTGTACGGACGCCCCCTCCCCTCAAAAAGGGCAAGGGGGATCTGTACACAGGCGATAAAAACATTGCCTAACTTTATTCATTCGCATTTTGTGAGAAAAAAAGAAGATAGCTACCAACATAAACTGCAGCACCTATGTTAAAATCTTAAGCTTTGATTCCGTTTGCCAGCTTTCATAACCAGTCTTCTCTACTAACTATGACTGAAAGATGATACTACATTCATGCGCGCTAACATTGGGTGGTTTTTTTGTCGTTTTGGCTACATTTCTAGCATAAAATATTGAAGTGAACCACAACTCTTTGCAGAAGATAAGATTACCTCAGGTGCCAACTAACAGATCATTTAATGTAAGTTGTAAAACGGACCTGATGACCGCTTTTACCTTGAACACAAGTAAAGTTATAGCAGTTATCGCAGGACACATCGTTCCAAGTGTAGCCATCATTGGCACCCAGAGTGTGAACACAGTCTTCGTTTTTCCAGTCGTTTGGTTGTTGCGGAGCCCAGAACCGAAAACTGGTTATTTCCTTGTTTGTCCAGACAAATGATCCCTCAACGCTTCGGTCATTAAGTCCAATCCATGATCGCTCTCCATTATGACGGTGCTGAATGTAGACATTTTCTTCTTGGTTGTGTACTGTTACCAGATGTGAGTTCATTGCTGAACAGTTGGACACAGCAGTCACCCAAGGTGCGCATACAGAGCTTGTTAAATAGCAGTATCCATTGAAGTAATCCCATCCAGATGGACAGATGTCTGCTCGTATACAGAGTAGGAATTAGAGAAGTGCAAAATGACATTGCTTAAATGTATAGCCTTAGGTGCAATTATGCACTTCGAACATTTTTGTTATTTCCGGTTTTGCGATTAAAAAAGGAAATGGAAAAGCAGAAGCTTTTTGTTCAGGACAAAATAAAGGCAATACGTAAGAGAGAGACAACTGCAAGTATTATAAAGCACTCTATTATACACATTAATATCTATTTGGAAAAGGAGATGAACGTTGTTTTTCATCACCACCCAAATACATTTTTTTTTTATTTCTTCCAGTTTTTGTGCATTCCTTTTGTGTATTGCTTGTATTGCTTTTTTGTTATTCACAGATTTGGTAAGTACTGAAGTTTATGATTAGTTTTGTAGCAGTAGTACCTGACAAAACTGTGTACGTTACTGACAATGGGTCATATTTTGCTTCATATAATTCTTTGACACAAGCACGAAAGCCTGTCTTGTTGATGTACTGCAAGAAAGGGATGTTTATCAGCTCATTAAGTAGTTCACACAGACGGCGGACGGTGTATTTTCTCCCTTGCTAGCAGAAAAAAAACTATACAACAGTTCAGGTAGGTCTTGACCAGAAGACGTTCCATATTTCTCAGTTTGACGCATATTAAGAAGTGATCAACCCTGTTCAAAAAGTTTGCATGACAGGGCTTCAAAGGGAAGAGGAAAGAGGACAATTGAGTGCGCGTTATTACATGTCAACAACTTAAACCTCTCATGCGATAATTGCTTTAACTGCTGTCAAACTTCAAATGTTTGGAGGCGAAATATGTCGCGTTCACGGGAAAGTAGAACCTTCATCCCACGCGTGCGAACTTTCAATATATTTCAAATAATCATCATGGGGCACAGGGATTCGCACGCTTAGCTCATTCTCTCTTGCTTAATATCAATTTTAGTTTTCTCATTGCTTTTTGTTTGTCAACATTTGCTTACCTTCTGCTATACAGCTACACAGCTTTTTTAAACACAGTTTTAACGACGTTCCATAATTCATGGCCATTTTACTAGCCAAGGGTTATGCCCGATCGTTATTTAAACGGATAAAATTTAACTTTTGTGCTGTTTTTCGCACGTTTTGTATTCTATAAGCTGTTATTCTCAATAGAACGCTATCTGTATTGTAAAATAGAGAGTGTTAATTACAGTCACTCGTATTTTCATAAGGTTTTTAAACATCCACACAACACATGTAGGTGTGGTTGCAAGTGGTATGTTACAGAAATTCATAAAATAAATGAAAAGAAAATAATTAAATAAATAACTAAAAACATACCTCTACCCACTCAGCTATGCTGTTATGAATTGGACTCTGACTTCCATTTTTGGTGGAATGATTGGCAGAAACAAACACATGTGGAGTTGAGTTATAAACTTTATTAAAAGTAGCGTCCTGTGAAAAGAAATTACATAATTATAAAACCTTATAAAAAGGTAAAGACTTTTTCCACATAAGGGCATTTATGATCTATATTTCATTTTCATTTTAAATGTTTACTGAAATATGACAGGCAGACTGATAAACTGATTAAATGTAACTACCATCACTAGAGACATGATAGGGGAACCGTTTTCTTTTGCTCTCTGATAGTAAATTTATTCAATAAAATTAACTGCACTGTGACGGGAATTGAAACCCAAAAGACTAATGAAAGGACTGGAATACTGACCTTGCAGAAGGCATTATAATGACTCTGAGCGGGAGGTTTATCATTCAAAAAGTAAATCGAATTGTGTTCTGAGAAGGGAGGCTCGTCAAGATATGAAAACGTTAACCAATTCTGAAATAAAGTAAATAAATAAATAAATAACAATAAAAAGAAAGAATTCTTTTTCAGTCTCACGTCCTAACTACAAAAAGATTGTGTCAACGTCGAAAATAAAATGGTAATCTCTCAACAAGGTTTATATAAAACAGCCACCGACATCTTAGGTTACAAGCAGGTTACAAGGGTTACAAGAAAGCAATAACATTGTTGGGTTGACAAAGCCGGATGAAGAGGAAACAGATGGAGGAAAATATATTTTCAAGCAAAAAATCGTGCCCCGGGGGGCCCCCCCGGGAATCGTGCATCTCTGCTGGACCAACTGCTGGAAGCGTAAAAGAGCGAAAAGATGAGATGGAGAAAGATACCAGTCTGCTGCACTTAGTTTCCAACGAAAAACGCTGTTCGTTCGATTCCATGAGATTAGCGTTACTTACAACAACAACGTCTTGGTGTGATCCAGCGTAGTTTTGCAGTTCTCTCAAGCAAACTTTGCAGGATGATTGTGTGACATCTTCAATCCATACGCTTGCTGCGTCACGTTTTAATCCTGGATTGTAATGTTTGGCAGTCACAAATACCGACGGTATCACAGAGAATTTTCCCTGAAAAATAAAAACGAGTTAGGCAACTCTTAACTTTTTTCACAATGGAAGCCTCTCCTCTCCTTACTGTAAATGATTATAATCTAATCTACGTATGCGTGAAGCAAGCCTGGTTGCAGTGTATGTTGTATTAATCGTTGGAATCTTAATTCTTAATTGTAATTTTTTGTAACCTTAAATTTTGTAGTGAAAGTGTTGTAAGTGATGTAGTGGTAATAAAGATCTCTGTTAATAAAAAAAAAAAAAAAAAAAAAAAAAACTCTTAACTCTTAGAAAGCCGCGAACAGGAATCAATTTCGTATTTTTGCAAAAAGGAACCCAGGGCATTTGTGATATGCTGGAAATTGGTAAACGAATAATTTGTACTACTATGACGTTGTTCGACTATTGGTAATAAGTGTACGGCTGCACCAGAACGACAAATCACTGCTGATGCATATTAAAGACGATCTGTTATTAACTGAGTGACCTCAGTAGAAGTGAGGCGTTTCAAAAGATATGATCTTGAAAAGAATGGAAAGGACAAGAAAACCCAACAAAGGCCACTCACTGTAGGAAACATGACAGTCGCACAAGTCGTACCAGTCCACCACTGTGACATGCGCACTTCACCAGTCACGCCACCTACCGGAGCACCTTGGTACGCCATCCAATCAACTGTCACGTTAGCATACGACTTTCGTTCGTTATATCCTGCCGCCATCACACAAGCAGTGAATCCGTCGTTATTCACATTTTCAACCCACGATACTGCCGCGTCATGGACATACGATTTGTCACTGGTATCCATATGATTGACAGTTATCTGCACTTGGATGGGTTTGTCAGGGTAAAACACAAACGGTTTGAAATGAATGGCAAGACAGTGAGAGTAGCCCAAGGATGGAATATGTGGCATGTGGCGACGACCACGCTGAAAAGGAAATCCTAGAAAACACATTTCAAAATGAACTATAGATTAGTATGACAAGCATGCGGAGCAAAGGGCATTTACCCAGAACTTACAAAATGTTAACAAAGCAGCAAATGAGTGGTTCTTATAAAGAGGGTTGTTACTCTCAACCATAGAAGTCCAGGGGAAAGTTCGCAGCGGACAATGTGTCGCTTGTCACTGCATTAGGTCAATAGCATGGCAAGCAGTCATGGAGAGATTAGAACTTGCATCTTGAGCAGAGCTACACAGTGGCAACTGGTCAGGCCTATTAGCGCTAAAGGAAAGGAAAGTGAACATCCAACGTTCTAGGAAAGGACGTTATCCAGATATGTTAGGCAGAGCTACGTCCGAGTACGGAATGCAAACGACTACTACTACTACTACCACTACTACTATACTACAATCTCAGAGAGAAGAATCAGTTTCAAATTTGCCTCAGTGATACATATATAAAAAAACAAATATTTTCGTTGAGTATTAACTGAAAATGCTTAAAACATAAGTGTATCCGCCACTTTTTCGTACAGTATTTTTATTAGTATTGCTCCTGTGCATGACAAAACGTTTTAGCAAAATTACGTAAAATTCTGTACTTCCATAAAGTCATGCATCTATCGCCGTTTTTCCCTCCAGATTACATGGGTAAGTAAATAGCTCATTCGAAAAATTCACTAAGGGATTAATACTGAAATCTAATAAAAACAAAAATCACTTTTTAACAGCTTCAAAAACAAGTGTACTAACCTTCACAGCTGCCAGGATGTTGCACGGTAAAGTTTAGTCGATGTAGACAAACTTCTCTTTCAAACAAACATCTGTTGTCGTACGTTGTGCCATTTGATGAGCAAACGGGTTCTTTGTAAGATGGGCAGCTATCCACACATACACAGCGTGCATCATGGGGTCCAAACGCCTTACAGAAGCTGTGATAATAACACGTAACGTCTATGCAGGGATCCAAGTCTGAAGATAATTAAGCAAATAACAACAGATAGATTTAAAGCGCCCATAACTTAAAAAGTTATTTTTTTTAGACTTGAAAATGCACATTACTATAAGAATGTGCGAGGAAAAAAAATTGCTTTGAACACAATGTTATTAAAGAGAATTTTTTGACACGTTCAAATTTTTACCGCCATTTTGTCACACCATTCGTGCAAGTCTTCACTCGGATGCCTCTCGGAAACAAAGGGGTTCTGACGTATATTAAGAAACTATCACGTAAATTAAAGAACACGTGACTTTAGATACAAGATTCTACACAAATTTCGTCCAATTTACAAGCTGAAACTGCTTTAAGGTGTAAATAAGATGCATTGCAGTTAGATGCAACAACACTGGCGTTTTTCATTTTTGAATTTTTGTATTATGACATCACATATGAGCCTGTTAATTTCGTGATCAGGAGAACCAGTGTGCCAAAGAAATGTAGACTTTAAAATTTTCTTAAAAAAATCTCATTTTCTTCAATACACAAAATTATTGCTACGAAATTATAGTAGTAACATGTTCTTTCAGTCAACCAAATCTACAATTCCCAGAAATAGAGACAACAAAAAATAGCATTAATTAGAGAAAAAAAGCTCTCCATTAAAAAACTTCAAAAGATTGATGTCATAAAATGTACTTAATACACTGCAGCATAAAGACTTGACCAAAGTTTTGATAGATTGTTTACGTACCTCCAATCACCAGGTAATCAAGTTGTACGATGTCCTTATANAGATGGGCAGCTATCCACACATACACAGCGTGCATCATGGGGTCCAAACGCCTTACAGAAGCTGTGATAATAACACGTAACGTCTATGCAGGGATCCAAGTCTGAAGATAATTAAGCAAATAACAACAGATAGATTTAAAGCGCCCATAACTTAAAAAGTTATTTTTTTTAGACTTGAAAATGCACATTACTATAAGAATGTGCGAGGAAAAAAAATTGCTTTGAACACAATGTTATTAAAGAGAATTTTTTGACACGTTCAAATTTTTACCGCCATTTTGTCACACCATTCGTGCAAGTCTTCACTCGGATGCCTCTCGGAAACAAAGGGGTTCTGACGTATATTAAGAAACTATCACGTAAATTAAAGAACACGTGACTTTAGATACAAGATTCTACACAAATTTCGTCCAATTTACAAGCTGAAACTGCTTTAAGGTGTAAATAAGATGCATTGCAGTTAGATGCAACAACACTGGCGTTTTTCATTTTTGAATTTTTGTATTATGACATCACATATGAGCCTGTTAATTTCGTGATCAGGAGAACCAGTGTGCCAAAGAAATGTAGACTTTAAAATTTTCTTAAAAAAATCTCATTTTCTTCAATACACAAAATTATTGCTACGAAATTATAGTAGTAACATGTTCTTTCAGTCAACCAAATCTACAATTCCCAGAAATAGAGACAACAAAAAATAGCATTAATTAGAGAAAAAAAGCTCTCCATTAAAAAACTTCAAAAGATTGATGTCATAAAATGTACTTAATACACTGCAGCATAAAGACTTGACCAAAGTTTTGATAGATTGTTTACGTACCTCCAATCACCAGGTAATCAAGTTGTACGATGTCCTTATAATTGGCGTTATTGCTGTATCTTCTCATACACACCTCGGTTTCGTTTGTAAAGGTATGCTAGACACAATAATTACAAGTATCAGATTATCAATCATTAAGCGTCATCAGGTATTTTCTTACCTTAACTACTATGTCACTAGGTACACCAAGGTCGTTTAGAAAGCGAAACCGTGGCGTGCACAGGTTGGTTGGAAAAATTGGAAAAAAACAAAACAAAAAAACTTTTTTGGACTCCTTAAACGACATGAAGAATTGAAACAGAGACAATGCTAAAAGTAAGTTATAAGGGAAAAGATAAGAAGGCAGCCCAAAGACGCAATGGGCTAAGAAAAATGGCTCCAAGTTTCATATATGTTACCTGAATCCACGCAGTAACTGCGTTACAAGTTCCAGAAGCCGAGAAACGGGAGTTGTTGTTGTGGTAACTGAGTCTTGGTGAAACCATTACTACCGGAGGAGCATAGAAAGCATCAGTGAACTTTATTATCTAAAAAAAAAAAAAGACAAGAAAAGAATCAGCGTTCTTAAGTTTTTCTACACATATGCGGTATATGATATATGTTGTTTAAATAGTTGACGATAACAACATTAGAGCTCCATGAACTTATGAAAGATTTTCTATTTATCAATATAAGTGACTGAGAAACCAAAACAGTATAGTTGATTAGTTACTTTACCTGACAGAGAGCGTTGTTTTGTTGCTTGTTTAGTGGTGAGTTATTCTTTGTTGTTACAAGGCCATGGATCAAGGTGGAATTCAGCGTCATCAGCTTAACAAATGCTATCCAGTCCTGAAGGACAAGTGACAAAGTATTGACAATGTTATCAATATATTCTTCCTCATGTCAACGTTGTGTTCTAAGATAAGGGAGCCCATTTCTCTGAAGCCGTGTAAATCACAGGGTACCCAACTTAGGATCTCTATGAAAAAAGCTACGATTTCCTAGTAGGCAAAGGGCAAAGGTAGAGCGCCAGTGACAACTGGGTTCTGGTAGAGCCCAGCCCCTGTAAGTTGCAGCAAGCGAGGAACAGCTTGGTTGTCGTGTGAGTCTACTTTCAAACATGTAACAGGTGACAAAAGGAATTCACTTACCACCTTGATGTTTTTATGCAGCCCATCAAAAATCTTCGTTTCCCTGAGGCAAACCTTAAAACTGTCCCTGCGTACATCCTCTACCCACAATGCCAAGGCGTCCTGAGGTCTCTTGAGAATTTGGTGACGAACTGTTACATAGATGCTCGGAGGAATTGAGAAACGCTGAAAAAGTAAGAGAGAACGAAATAAATATAATCAATAACATTTCTTCTTCACACAAACAAGGATATGATATAAAACGAGGGAAGTGAGATAGAAGAAAATCATTCTGAACTTGAAAGAAGCAAACTGGGTAGAATTTTTGCAGATGAAAAACTAAGAACTACGAATTAAACACAGAATTTGTAAATATAACGATTATTATGAACTTGGCCACGTAGAAACAAAAGGAATCGAAATATCGACTTTCTCACTAAATTTTTTAAAGCAAAAATTAGCAAAAAAATATGAAGATAAGTAAACCTTTTTAAAGATGTATAAATGTTAACCTTTTCAAAGGCGATCCTTTTACACTTTTCTCCAGTGGACCAAGAATCCAACGAGACGGTGTCTAGTTGAGCGCCAACAGGAGCAGATCGCAGCGCCATCCAGTTCACTTTCGTAGTCCCACTAGAACCATCTCCGTACTCCAAAACACAAACCGTAAATTCTTTATTATCCACAGATTCCACCCAAATAGCCGCGCCATCTCCACCACTATAACTGTTTGTTGCGTGGTTTTTGGAAACGAAAACTTTCACATCCTGCCCGCCATTGAAAGAATTCTCAAAGGAAACCTTTTCACACGCAAACAGACCAGGAGTAGTAATGGTGAAATTGCATATTCCAGTTTTGATACTCAGCGCTGGGAAATACAAAAAAGTCAAAAAATAAAAATAAGTGTAAAAACAAAATACAGCGATGAATATTCTCTTTTATACCTTCAACGTCTTGGTAAGTAAGTGCAGCTACGAAGAAGAAAGCCAACAACAACTGCACACGGACTTCTTTCTCGGTAAACATCTTGCTTCAAATGAAGAAAAATCCACTCTGTTGAACATTATACCTCTTAGCAATACGTGGCAATATAGTCCAACTTGTTTTTACGCGTTTAGTAGATCTCATTTGCTTTGTTTTGGGGGGGGGGGGGTAGGGAGTAAAGATCTTTGAGGTAGTCAATTGTATAAGATTTATGCGGAAACTGAGAAGGGTAGGCACGTAGGTTCATTCACTGCACTGTCACCACTACCATGGCGATGTATTGAAAAATGCTGTGGAAGAGGCTCCTCTGTTCTTCTGTTTCCTTTAGGTCCTAAAAATGTTTTCAAAAAATAATTTTAGGACTTAAAATTTTAACTTTGAAACGCTTCCAGCTGATCTGTCAGGATATTTTATACTATATATAATAAAGGCAAAAAACAGAACAACCCACTGAGGAATACGGGAATTTGTGTGAACCTAGAGCACTTATAATCTTGAATAAAAAATGAACCAAACGAAGATTATATCATTTGTTTTATGTGGCCCAAAATTTCACGGAGAGTTATTAGGTGAGGTCTCAGCCACGAAATTGATAGCCGACTTCATCATTTCCATGACGCAAGCTTTACTGAATTATTTTGAATCCGAAAAATTATTATATTTACCCCCGCCACAACAAAAGTTAATATTTTGATTTAAAGATAATCTAGGGCGAATCTCGACCACAGAAAACTGTATTTTGTTTTTCCTTTCCATACTTTGATGATTAAGTCTTACGAACACGCACATTCCATCGAACTCGAGCGGGCAGGAAGGTTCCCTCTTGGCCCCGGAGGTGTAGCTTGTTACATAAAGCGAAGGGTTTACATCACCCTGGCCAGTTAACAGAGCAAGCAGTGAAGCAAGAGATATTCATTGAAAACATTTGCGAGTTAGTTATGTGGCATTAACAAGTTGTTCAGATTTGCATTTCAATATTCAGTTTATCGAGTCCGCACACTTTTTTATTCCCTTGTATGTATATTTAGGTTGCTTATAATTTCTGAATATTTTCTTAAAATTAAAATTTTCATGGCTTTTATTAGAAGCAACGTTTGCGTCGAGAAATTAACCAGAGTATTAAAAGACAAACACTTTCCTCTTACTTTTGAATGCTTGATATTGATACGCTGAATTTCATTTACCCATTTCAGGCCAAGACAATTATACTGAGATCCGAAAATTGTAATCAGGATACTTGATTAAAATTTAGTTCGCAGAAGATCACACAACGATCTTTAGAATTCTGCTTAGTCAGCGTGTTATACTCTGAAAAAAAGAAAGAAATTTCAAGGACTCGGTACTGTATGGCCTCTAGTCGTATTTGAGCCTTGAGAGTAAAAACCTTTATTGTTTAGACTCATAGTGGTCCTCTAAATTGTCCAACCTCGACTTAATTTAATGTTTCGCTATGAAGTTTGCGATTCAAGGGAATTATCCTCTTTCACCGTATTTCTCCTTCATAGCGACCTCAACATAGGTTTGTTACCCCATGTTATCTGAAGACGAACGCGAGACAAAGGTAAATAACTATTCTCGTTCCGACGCGTTGTCTATCTCAGTAACCATGAAAGGGTCCAATGATTTTGTTATTTTCCTTTTCTAAGAGGAGGAAATATTGATATAGATAACCATGGGCAACAAAAGGTACGTTTTAAAATGTTAGAGTTATTCTTTTCAGTGGTAAATGCAAGATATGCCGGAGTTAATTTTCCCTTTTTTACAGATGTTTATTTTGCATAATAACAAATGGCAAATTATGTAAGAATCGCTGCCTAAACATTTGTTAAATTTTTGTTAAAAGATAATGTCTAATCTAATTTCCGTTCTTTTTTTCTATTGTAATATTATTATGACTTAAACTTCCACTTTTGGGCTAAAAAAAATTGATTATTGCAGATTATAGTGATAATTACCCGATCTATTTATATATTTGCGTGACATACAGGACAATTGGCTAGACCGTGGATATATACTACTGGTATGAAAAGTGAAAATATGCGAAAACCGCTGCAAAAAAACCTTGACCTATGAGCGCTTTACATTTAGGTATAAATGTCGTTCATTTCTATCGCCAATACAACTAATATAAGCACTGAAAGTCGCAGTTATACGGTTGGTTGTCCCTCAAGATACCACTCACCTCATGATTACTTCCTGATATCTCTGTATAGAACTTTGTAATAAAACGAACAATAACCTTCGTCTTAACTTTGTCGGACATGCTGATAGCCTGAAAAATTAACCTAAACTTTCTTGGTCAGAACTAATTTTCGGACGTAGTGCAGTTATTTCATCACGCAGTCAAGAGTATACAAAACGTCACGGTGAACTCAACCTATAATATGCTCATTTTATACATTGAAATCAAACATTTGTTTAGTCATGAAAAAAAATTCAAATTTAGGGTATTTTCACTATGTCAATTCAACGTGCCATTTGCTCATCGGCTTTTTTTTTTCTCGAAGTAGATGTCAGTCTAGATTCCACAACGTTTTGATTCATTCTACTCCCGTAAAAGATTAAAAGTTTCAAATATAAGTTAACAAAATGCAAAAAAACTATAGAAAGGATATTTTTTTACAATAACTAAATTATATCTCGCACGCTGATTGGTTAATTGTAATTATCAAGAGGACAAACACATAAAATTTTAAGTTTTATAATGCAAGTCGCGGTCATTTGCCGAACGAATGCCGACCTTCGGTGTTTTTGTTTAGTTAAGTTTCGTAGAAGAGTCACTTTCTGTTCTCTGAGAATAATAGCCAGAAAGTTCTGATGCAAGACTTGCATCCCGTTTGGATTCTCTGCTAAAAGCTTAAGCGGAGGAAACTAAACAGGACACTTAGTTTACAAAAGCGGGGACGACTTGCTAGAAATGGTACAGTTTCAAAACTGCGATTTAATGTTTAATGTTTTTTAATGTTCGTAAAAAGTTAAAAAAGTAAGAAACAATTCTGAAAGCCGACTAGTTTATTAAAAATAAGCACATTTATAACGGTAGTTTTCTTTTGACAAGTACTGAGTGTTTTTCTAATCCTTTTTTGGCTTTCGTTTTGTTTGAAAAACATGTTTGAAATACTTTGAAACATTCATGGACCATTCAACTTAAATTTTGAAGTACTGATATTATGGGTGGAAAGCCAAACTAACATGTGTCGAGTATATCGAGAATGGTATTCAGGACGACAAACTTCAGCTTCGACTTGTTTGTTTACTATAGCGGCTCCAAAATCTTTCCTTGGAATAATATTTAACCTTGGGCTAGTTTACGACTTTATACAGCCCTAAAATGCCTCCGTTTTTCTAGGCAATAAACATCGCTGATCTCATTCTTGTTTGAAGTTTGCAAAACAAATTTATGCAGCGCAGTGACGTGAATCAACCTGTCAAATTTTTAGCCAATAAAACTCCGTTACTTTTTATCAGTAGCCAATCACCAAACGTAAAATTCTGTGCTACCCTTCTTTAAATAAAGTGTATTGTTATTATTATTATTATTGATAATAACATTGCGCTAGATTTTCTTGTGTTGTCTTCATGATTTCTACCGGCAATATTTGACTTTTCCGAGCTTTTGTTATTGTATGCGGCTCGTGGATCCACAACACTTTGACAATGTTATGATGTCATTTTATCATCAATAAGAAGACAGTCGATAAAAAACTGGCGTCAATTTGTTAACTAGAGTACATGGAAACAATTCGGTCACGTGACGTTGTATTTCGAACGGAGTAACCCAGTTCCAACTGTTTGAGCCAGAAGGCGCCTGGTAACTACTTTATAGCTTCAATTCGAGGCTTAAGGGAAAGAGTGGCTATTTTTGAAAGCACATGAACTAGAGCTGGAGAGTCTGACGTGTGTTAAAAATGACGTATTAAGTCATGTTCGTGCGTAAAAATAATTTAAAAAGGTCAGACCTCCCTCAACTTTTTCGATTTTTCGAGTTAGAAGAATCTTATAACAAAAAAAGATCGTCTTTTGTCCTGGCGCTGATAAAGAGTTTGATTCTATGTATCTGCACATATGCTCCGAGCATTTTAAGATCGCACAAATCATGAAGACCTTGACTGGAACTAAAAAGGTAGCAAAAGGGACGGTCCCGACGATTTGCTAACCCCGAAATGAGTCCCTCGAAGTCCAGTCAAAGTGAAAAACGGATGAATTACCAAAACAAAAAGAAAATATAAGATTTCAAGTTGGCATAACATTGCAATCGTCAAAAAAAAAATACCACTTCAACATTAGAAAATCATTAGTAAATTTACAAATGTTGGTATTTTTTGTAGGTAATTGGTAGATTAGAAAATTATTTCAACAATGGAGATGAATTGGTTGATTTTTGATAAAATGATCATTACATAATACTAAGAAATATCAGCGTTAGGCTTTAATCAGCCATACGTTATTTTGCTGCTTCTCGACCTGTTGAAAGCTTTCAGCACGATTGATCAACTACAAGATTCTTTCTATCTAGTTGTACCTAGATCGTAAGCAAGTAGACAATGTCTAGGGACCCACATCATATAGCAAGAACTGGCAATTTCAGCTCCGTTCATCGATCAGCCGTTTAACCCGAGAGTAAATTAAATGCAATAATGCAAAATTGATTTGAAATACGCGTAAATACCTAATTTTCCTTCCATCAGCTTCAAACAGTGGCAAAGAAAAATGTTTTTAATTTAATATAATTCATAATTTTACGTGATAAAAACTTAGCTTAAGTGGCAGCGTGGAGCAGGGTGGTTTAGGGGCTGGTACTTCACGTACAGGTGCTGATCATAGTATAATATTCATCCCTGGGTACTGTTATTCATGACATTATAATCAATCTGACCTGGAACAAGCCCAAGACAGACTGAATTGAATATAGACAATTAATCTGGAACCCGACTTAATCGCTACGAAGGGCGGGTTGGTCGCCAATCGCCATTCGTGTCGGACAAAGTGAAGCGAATGGTACAATGCGTGCCAGCGTTTCCTATTATATACACTCATTTGCATATCATTAATTAATCCCCAGGGATGATATTTACAATTCAGATGGCACGTGAATAGTGTAGGTTCCAATTCCGATGAAGCTGCAGTCGAAGGTCCCCTTGAGACTTCTCTCGTAAGCGACCAGCTCTAATTACGAACACCTTTCTTTCCGAATTATTAATAAGTTTCTAAAGCTCCCGTAATCGACCACCCTTTGTTGTTTTACCATGCGTTCGCTTACGGAAGCTCATTCTCGTAAGCGACCAGCTCTAGTTACGTCACTGTTTCGAATTTCCGAGGTGGTCGCTTACGAGAGCTTAGACTGTATTTTCTTTTTCTCCGTACGTTTTCTAAATCAGTTTAGTTCCTGGTTTTTTTAGGTTTGTTTGTTGAACAATTTCTTTCTCTTTGGGTTGTTTCCCTTTATTCTCACTGCTGACTCTTTCTAAGCTCGCGAGGTTTTTGCGATCACGTATTTGTTGTGGTTGTTGTTACGTATAAATGTAGAGAAGATCTCCTTGCGTGTGAGATTTGTCTCTTCTATGCTCGCGTTATTCCGGTTTCTGTTTACGTCTTTCGTTTTTTGTCTTCTTAACTGTCCCTTTTGATTAACATTAGGGATATCAACGTTCTCTTCATGGGTTTGCCGCAATGTCTTTGCCAGTAATCCACATTTCTTGTTTTCGAGTGCTCGGAAAGAAAGGACTCGTCAAACCTAAGTGTTACTATAAGCAATGATATTGGAATTAATGACTGATTTGCAATGGTCACATGTTTAGCTTTTGATTGCGTACGCAAATGGATACAAAATAACTGAAACAAACTTTTGTTAGACGAGACAACATTACTTTCACAATTTATGAATTCTTTTATTATCTATTTTAAGCCATACGGATCTTCCTGTTTGAACACAGGTTTCTAACAGTTCAAAAATCAGTACAAGAAGTCTGAAGTCGGCACTGTATTGACCCAATTTTGATTAGTGATTAGTCAAGCGATCATCCCGTGGTAGTGATCCAGGAGAAAATCCCCCGCTAAAATTTAATAAGTTGCTTGCGCGACTAAACAATGCCTCGTGTTCTCCATTGTCTGCTTCCTGCCTGATCTTAGGTTAGTGCAATTACAGTCGAACCATCCGTAAGGCCACCAGCAAAAATGCGAAGATTTAGTGGGTCGCTTACGAAAGTCAAACCACAATTGTCTCTTTCGAAAAGAGGTGACGAAACTGGCGATACACTTACTTTTTGGAAGAGAACTTATTTCATGTAAAGTTATGATTGAATGTGTTTTTCCGTGTTGTCACTAATTCGTGTAGTTCTTCATATACTCCGAGCAGCGTAGTACATACAGCGAACTTAGAGATCTTACAGTGTGTCTAGTGATCGCTTGAAGAGATTAAAAGAACGGGAAATTGCATAACCGTCACCCTAAATAGTGGTCGTTCACAAAGAGTTCTAACGATAGGGCTTCCTGTGGAAAAATTTGGTGTTTCGGTTAGACGTGTTGCTGATGGGAGTTGGTAGACTGAGAGCAGTCTCTTTTTTCTCTTTTGAGTCACAGTATATCGAGAGCACGCGTAAGAGGGGATCCGGGGGATACTCCTGATAATGGCGTGTACGGTGAGGCTCCGCCTGAAGGGGGCACCTTTTTCAGGTTTCAGGTATACGAAATGGTAGGGATTTCACGAGCTGAGGTAGAAGCAAGGGTAAGGAAATCTGATATTCGGTGTATAAAGGACTAAAAGGGCAGTTAAAAGGGATGCAGCGCTGTAAACAAGGTATATGAAAAGGGCACCATTTGTCAGTAGAAGGTCCGAAAATGGTGCCTTTTCTTTCAAAAATTTGGTATACAAAAGGCCAAGGGGTTAAAACTCTCTATGGAGCGTCCCTGTATAAAACGTAATTCGGTAGCCATCCCTCCTCTACCCTTCCGGAGATGGGAGTAGCGAAGGCGCGAGGAACTAGCCAAAATTAATTTGCACAATTTTGCTTTTTCACTTGTCGCGCGTGGCTATTGGGAGTTCATGCAACTGGTTACCCTAGATACATATATTTTCAAATTTTTTAGAAAAGTAGACAGTTTGACATGCCAGCTAAATATCTTGGAACTTTTATCACGCCCCTTAACTCAAACGATAGTCCATCCTGGGGGGTCAGTAGCAACTACTTACAGGAAAAAGAAATACGATGGATTTTTTTATCAATCTGGATCATCACTTATGTCCTGTCGATCGGTGGGGGAGGGAATGGAGAATAACCTCGGGAATACGTGGGGAACATGGATATAACAACAAGCATGCTATGGAGCTAGTTTGACTGCGGCAGTAGGCTATCTACGTTAAATTGCATATTTCCATGGTTTTGGGGGTAAGAAAGAAAGCCGACACTATTGAATTACCCACTTTCCTTGTTTTTATTGTATCTAGTACCATGCCATTTAATACAGGGCGTTAGTTTATTCTACTTTCACTCTTAAGACCATTCAGGGGCCCATGAGCTCCTGGCCGTTGCAGTACCCCTTACTTAACAATTAACTGTGCTGCACTTTTGACGTCATCGGTTGATTAATCGCAAAGTTCTTCCAAATTGGTCAACAGCAGCTGGTTATGGTGAATTATGCATGTGCTTTTAGCCAATCAGAAACGGAGAAATATTTTGAATCAATAATAATAGTTCTTATCTTAGATCCTGGTGCTGAATAATGCCGGCGCGTTAAGCTTCCTTAAAAATTAAAACCCTTAAACTCTGAGGAAGACTTCCGTTATAGTGACATCCTATCGCACAAAGACTTGCCTAAAATTACCAGGGTACACTCCCACATTATAATCGTCACATTCCCACCTGCCAGACGGTTCAAGAAGTCAGTGGTAAGCTGCCCATAAAAAGGAAAGGTGGTCGTATAATCTCTTCTGAGAATCCTTCTGATCTCTCTCGTGCCCCCATTTGCCTATTTGTTTTAGAACCCTTTTCGTATCCCCAATCTTTTCAGGCTCTTGATAACCGGGAGTTATCATTGCTCATGATCACAAACGAGCGACCTGAGAGGCAGGCATCACATTTGTGTCATAACTAAGTCAAGATATTTGACAGCGGCTTCACCTTTGCTGTTAGCAGCCGTGGTGATGTGAAATGTACGGCCTCCTATTTTTTTACAGTGAAATCTTATCTGAGTAAAATTCAAATGCTTCCTCAGCTCCTTCATGGCGCTTTTGGTGAGTAACATCTCTTTGCTGCTTACTCCGTGGACCGTGGTACTACGTCTTAACTGGCAACTGCCAGTGAGTGGGAGATGAACCGTGCGAAACAACGTTGGAGACAAGAAGCCATCCCCCTGGAATTCAATAAATGTTCATCAGTCATGTGGGCCAAGAAGTGTTTACTTCCAGTTAAAATCACTGTTAAGTAAGCCTTGTTAATATCACTCACGCGAACTCCGATGTCCGATATCCGTGATTCGCTAAGCAGATGCTAGTGTTTCAAGTTGACCCCGAAACGAGGCTTGACGCAAACAATACATATTGTATCACAAAAAGGCAATTGTTACAATAATGTAACAGTCGGTGTGAATTTTGTTAACACCTATTAGTTATTTAGAATTTCGTGAACTTACTTTTAATCATAGAATAAGACGTACCAGCATAAAAGAAGTGTCACCTTTAACTTAAACCTTACCTCCGTCAGTTGTCATGTCACAATATGCCTTAAAAGGCCTTTTAGTCCTTCCAGGGTCAATCCAGTACTCCCCGTCTCTATTGGAGGTACCTAAGTCCTTGATTTCTTTGCAGAATTGAGCGGGATCGTCGGAAAAGAGCCCGCGTGTCGCTACAACAAAAATCAAGACATCACACAACATCACAGATCAACTTTGAAGAATTCCTTGTTTGGAAGACGTTTGCAAGGCTTCTATGGACAAAAAAGCATTTCACTTTAATCTTGGGTAAACTTTAGGTGTAAAATAAAAGTAGAGAACGTGGTTGATAAATGGCTAGAGGACGCACTTTCAAAAACCTTAACAATTCGCCTGTGCAAAATAAAACAAAAGAAAAAGTGAAGATAGGTTCCTAGAGCTTTATTACAGAATTAATCAAGCCTGCAATCGTTTTCAAAGAGACTTAAAATGATAATAATATACAGGTAATCGGCTTCCCGGATCTTCCTTCATTCATCCAGATGAGTAGTGATTCCTGTTACTGGACGTAACTTAGAGTTGAGGCTAGTAGGGGGGAAAATCATTAAAGAATAACTGAATTGCAATGTGAACAGATTGCCCGTCTTAAGCCTGTAGTGTAGGCTAGTTCCAGTTCATAGCTAAGAATCCATGACAAATGTGTTTGACAAATAAAAGCAGAGAATGCGATAATTGCGTGTGCTACTGAGATATTTACCTTTACACTTTTCCCCATCTCCCTTTGTAACCAGGTTTACAGGTGCAGGTGAAACATCCCTCAGTGTGTGTGTGTGTGTGTGTTTTTTTTTTAATTTTTTTTTAATTAAAGCATTTCTTACGTTTACATACAAAATAGAAATTAAGAAAGAGAAAAACACACACACACACACATACACACACACATATATATAGTACAAACAAAAGAATACAAAGCTAAACAAAGCTATTACAGCAATACATTTACTTAGTATGTAAATTACAATGACATCACTTTAAACTAATGATCGAAATTAATCATATCATCACTTATTCGTAAAAACGCTTATTAACTTTACCCACCTTCTAAAATGATTGTTTAATTTGTCTCTTTTCCTGGCAATATGGAGTTCGATGTTGTAAATACGCCTTGTCCTGGCTATAAAACCTTGCAGAGAAGGTATACCATTCTGGTATTTGCGAGAGTAAATATAAAACTTACCCAGAAGCGAAATATGGTTAAACAGGAGAAAATCTTCTGCAATATCGAACTTACCAAAAATGACGTCCTCTTCTTTAAGGTTATCAACAGAGATGTTATTATCGCGCAACCAGGACAAGACATGTTTCCAAAAACTAGATGATACTCTACAGGAAAAGAGTAAATGCTCTACGGATTCAACCTCTGTTTGATTTGTAAAGACAATACGGTTTAAAATTTTAAACTGAAATTCTCTAAGTTTAGATTCTAATGTTGTGCGAAAAGATAGCGAATAAACACTTTTCCAATCAATATCAATGTTTGAATACTTTGCAGCTAACTTCACTTTAGACATTTATTTTTATATTACCTCTTTATACAACTTTTCAGCTATTGTATTCCTCCACCAATTATATTTATATCTAAATTATTTTCAAAAGTCTCTATCAGTTTATTCTATTCTTACTTACCTTTTCGGAAATTCTTGTGTACAGATCTTCTTTTCAGACTTCTCAAAGGGATTTGGTATGTTAGATTACCATATACTTATAAACGAACTTCACTTATTGGTGTGGAACCTGTGCTATCTGATTGGATTAAGTCATTCTTTTCTGACCAATAGAACCCAAGCTGTGTGTATAGGTAATACCTTGTCTGAGAGGAAACACACCCATGGTGACATACCCCAAGGAACTAAGATGGGCGTGCCCCTGTTCTCAATTTAGATAAATAGACTCAATACTAGATACGTACTACAGTTTTCAATAGGGATCTGAATTTTGCTTGTTAGAGACAGACACATTGTTTTATTGAGCATAAGATGAAGTTAAATCATAAAGAAATGGTTATAAATTTCATGAAATATCCCAATAATACCATACAGCCTATTTGCTTGGAAACCATCAGTTAGAGCGGCGTGTTTCGACATTTAAAAAACTTGGTGTAAAAATTAGGCTTGATCTTCCATGGAACTACCACATTGATTATATTTATGGTAAAGCCGCCAAATGATTGTATTCCTTAACGGTGCTTAAAAGAGCTGGTGTAGCTGGCAGCAATATTATCATATTTATAAGTGCTCTGTGAGATCATTTATACTTGCATATGGTGTCCCGGCATGACAAGATATTCCTGAGACCTTATATGTTGTTCTCACAAATAAAGTCAAGACGAATCCTCAATATTTTGTGGGCGTTTTTAGTAAAACAATTATTCTACTCGCGCTTGTTGGATATGAGATTATTATAGCCAACTCGTCGCTACGCGCCTGGTTGGCTACAACCATCTCATCGCATACGCGCACTCGTGGAATAATTGTTAAATCTCCTGTTTACCCATGTATATCTAGTACTATTGAATACCCTGTTATACTCTGCAATATTCTGCTGTTTACCCATGTAAACTCTAGTATTCTGTATACCATGTTTATCCTGTTTACTCGTGCACACCCTAGAACAGTTGACTCTATGACAATCTGTCGATAGGGCAAGAAACCAGTGTCCGTTGTAGGCATTAGTGGGTAAATGTGAAATAAAGATGCATGTATTTCTTAGGCGATTATCGTAGAGCGGCGTCTGACCTAACTGAATCATTGAAACGAGCATATTTCAGCGTACAGTCGGTATAATTAAACACAAAAAAACAATTGAAATTGAAATACGCTATTTGTAAGAGTAAATGTTAAACACAATTGCTGTTTTCAGGGGGTAAAATAAAACAAACATAAATAAAGAAGAAAAAGGAGAGGATGACAAAGAAGAAGATGATGATGATAAAGTTGTTGTTTCCAAAATCACATGTCCTGAGTGAACAAAATTAGCTATCACGACTTTTGCCTGTCGATATAGAGTATAGAATGAATCTTCCAGCTATTCTCCACTTTATAATGGAATTTAATTTGATAAACTATACTAACAGTTTCAACTTTATATTCAGTCAGATGGAACAGACCACAATGTATGATCAACGAAGTTTATTGGTTAGAAGATCAAACTGTTGGCTGGCTCCGAGCTGACTGAAAGACTGAGTGATCTGAAAGGCACTTTTATTTTACTAGGTAACTGACTACTAAACAGACAATTAAGGGGTGTGTTGCCCATTGCCCATCATATCCTCGCGTGATTTTGGTGCCTTAAAAGAATAATATGACTTTCACACAATAAGCCTTTAAATTATTATTTGGATTCTTAATACGCTGTAAATTACTTCAAAAGCTATTTTTTTTTCTAAATATAACGGCCGAAGTCAAGATTGCTCAATGTTTACTATATTTCTCTTGTAGATGGTACCATTTGATACGGTAATAGAACAATCAGTCCTGATTCCCTTGGTTATCAAGAACTGAAATACCATAGTAAAGATTCTTTAGAGCTAAATGTTTTTTTTCTTACAAATTCCAGTTTTTCTTGAATTTGCCTCTCTGTTTTAGAGGTCACTGTAAACTGTATATTATTTCCACGCAGACTCTTGCTCACAAAATTGGATATATTTCTGTAACTTGGGATAACACACATGTTCAAAATGAATGACTCAACGGAGTCCAAGGGACAGGTCTCTTCGAGTGTCCATGGTCCGGGCTGCAAATCAGATCCCTCCTCCTAGCTCCAGGATAGCTGCTGTTAGCCGCCTCTTCAATGATGGTGGTGTAGAAGTTGTTCTCTTCTTTTTCTCTGCCTTACAATCGTCTGTGCTGTGAGTAACCCTTATTCCATATCTATTTTCACAGTTGAAACATGAACAGTGGATAGAGCAAGGTTTACCATTGGAATAGCAGGGACATTTTGTTCGTCTCTGACCAGTTACATCCATGCAAAAGTTTTGACCTGTTTTCCGTCCTTTAGCCCTACTTTCTCCACACCGGCATGACAGTTTTTGGGGATTCTGACTGCGATTGTCACAGTTGTGGCACTTGCTCTGAGCTTGGCAATTTTTTTTGTTAGAAACACACGGGCAACAAGATTTTTCAGTTGAAACACAAAAGTGCTCACTTCTGGATTTTGCCTCACGTCCACAATAGCAAATTCGGGAAACTGCCTGTTCCTGAGCATGCTGAAGTTCAGCCTCGATAGGATCTGAAAAAAGTCGTTCATTATTTGGTTCAATTATTATTATTATTATTATTATTATTATTATTATTATTATTATTATTATTGTTATTGTTATTGTAGGTTGTTTAGTATTGTTGCTGTTCCTTTTCGTTTTAAAAGCCGTGTAACTACTAGCATGGCTTTAATGGACTATAGTGGTATTCATAGGTCTCGAGGTTGCCTAACCGATCGAGTTACACTGTCTGTCTCAGGTTTCCTGGTATATGCCAACAACTTTTGGAAAACTAGTGTTAGAAGGAACTGAAAAGGGCGTATTAAAATTACATAACCTAGCGATTGTAACTGTCGCCGAAAATTGGAATGTTCGTATTCAACCTTTTTAAATACGCCATATTGCACCTTGTTGACCTCCCAAATTTTTGAATAACCATTGTAAACAATATGCATTATGGTCTACCTTATTATAGGAAATTAACGCGAATCGTTAAAATTCGCGTTAATTTAAGTCGCGTTAATTTTTTTGAGCGATAATTTCCGCGACGTTAATTAAGTGCAGCGTTAATTTTTGCGCTCTTAATTTCGAGTGTTTCAACCCCAATTATGGAACCTGTCCAGACATTCTTGACACCTAAAAAACATTAAACACAAGCTTTCTTTCTTTCCATTTACCCTTTATTTTTCATCTTTCACAAAAGCTAAGGCGAAGGTTTACAATATTTCGAGTTCATCTTCATCGTTGTCGCTGTCAGAAGTGATGTCAGCTCAGTTTTGTTCAGTTTTGAATTTTTTTGCATCCAGTGTTGAAATAAATTTGTTCTAGTTGNTCGTTGTCGCTGTCAGAAGTGATGTCAGCTCAGTTTTGTTCAGTTTTGAATTTTTTTGCATCCAGTGTTGAAATAAATTTGTTCTAGTTGTCACCACCAACTGTGTCTTAATCGCGTTAATTTCCTTTATTGTGAAATTCTACCTCCTCTTTCGCGTTAATTTTCTTTATTCGAAAGTAGTTTTCCATTAAATTCGCGTTAATTTCCAATGCCTTAATTTCATGGAGTGTTAATTTCCTATAATAAGGTATGTCAAAATAGCGATTGGGAAAATAAACTCTTGCCACCCAGTCACGGTTGATTGTTTCTACCATACAAATCCTTGTAACTTTCGGAAGGCGTTGCAATCGCGCCATAAAACCTATCTTTAGCCCCACTTGAGTAATTATAAAACTTATAACACGTCAAAATAAGTCATTATTATTATCATGACATGGATGATAAAAGTTTGGTCACCCATCCGTTCGAGACCTTTGATAGTTCAGTAACAACTGGTATTTACAACTCTTGATTTTACAGCTGCCCATACTATAACGCAGTTCCTTGAGTTGACAGACTTATCCCTGTTAAATTTACCATTTACTTCAACTTACAATTGGTTATGCTCTCAGTAGCATCGTAATGGCCTGCCCCAAAATAATGATGAGCAATATAGATTGGGGTGTTACTCAAAGGATTATCGCAGTTGAAGGGCAAAAAAGGAATTGTTTCAGAAGAAGTTATCACCATAATTGGAGCTTGCAAGATATTTGAACATAGTCTTATTACAAAGTCGCCAATTTCTTGATCAAAAAAACGTCTTACGCTAAACTCGCGGGCTTTCCTTTCAACATCTGCATGGGGACCTTCGAAGAAGTTTGAGATGCTGCAGTCGTCTGCTAAAACTGCATCTACAAATAGTTGTCGAAGAGTGTACGTATCCAGGTCCTCAGTACTTAAAAGTTCTAGACGCCTCAGGTGATCTGATAATTGACCGGCTTCATTATGGACAAGTTTTCTTACTTTTCTGATTATTGTACGGAAGGCACAGTCCCCATCAGATTGGACTCTATCCAGCTGCAGGTTGAAAGTGGCTAAATGCCGTTTAAGCGTCTCACTATGGATGTTGATCGTTGGGTCGTCGGTGTCAATGTTGTCTTCAGAAGTAAGAAGTTTTGTCATTTTGCTGAGATGAACAGTGTCAAGAGCATTAAAAGAACGATCATTGTTTTTCTCTTTTACTTTCTTTATCATTTCAGAAAGGTTATACGTTGCACTAATTAGAGCCGCTGCAATCGATTCCTGAGAGAGATCTTCAATGGTCTCAACCATTATAATAAAAGGATTACTAGAAGCAAATGAGTTTTCGGAAATCTGGAAAATTTTTCCATCCTCTATATCTAACTCTGTTGAAAACTGACGCTGGCGATCTTTATCATCACCTGACTCTGTTTCAAATTCAGCATTTCCAGTTAACACATTACTGTTGGTGACCTTGGTTACGACTGGAGCCACAGGCTTGATTTTTGAACTACAAAAATGTTTTTCTGCAGATATTTTTTGATTGTGATGGTAGAATAAGAGAGTCAGCAATGCCATTGCTAATTGGACGGAAAGAGTAGTGGCTCCAGAAATCATTGACCTGTTTAAAAGTCTGTGCAATCCCTCATTTCTCTCAGTACCACACCCTGGAGGTATTTCTGATAAACAGCCTTTCTGTATATGCTTGCGTAGATTTTCAATTTCTATAAACGTTGCTTCTGTAAGAGGGCTATAGGGAACATTGCTGCAGCGTTCTATAAACGAGTTCAGATTTTTTTCCATCTTTTCCTTGCACGCAGTATACAGTATGACTAGGGTAAACATGGGTAAACAGGATATACCAGGGTATACAGGGTATACAGTATGAGTAGGGTAAACAGGATATATAGGGGTATACAGGGTATACAGTATTACTAGGGTAAACATGTGTAAACAGGATATACAGGGGTATAGAGGGTATACAGTATGACTAGGGTAAACACGGGTACACAGGATATATAGGGGTCTACAGGGTATACAGTATGACTAGGGTAAACATGGGTACACAGGATATATAGGGGTATACAGGGTATACAGAGACACTAGAGTTAACATGGGTATACAGTATGACTAGGGTAAACATGGGTAAACAGGATATACAAGGGTATACAGGGTATACAGTATTACTAGGGTAAACATGGGTACACAGGATTTATAGGGGTATACAGGGTATACAGTATGACTAGGGTAAACATGGGTACACAGGATATACAAGGGTATACAGTGTATACAGTATTACTAGAGTAAACATGGGTAAACAGGATATTCAAGGGTATACAGTATCACTAGGGTAAACATGGGTACACAGGATATATAGGGGTATACAGGGTATACAGTATGACTAGGGTAAACATGGGTACACAGGATATACAAGGGTATACAGTGTATACAGTATTACTAGAGTAAACATGGGTAAACAGGATATTCAAGGGTATACAGTATCACTAGGGTAAACATGGGTACACAGGATATATAGGGGTATACAGGGTATACAGTATTACTAGGGTAAACATAAGATATATAGTGGTATACAAGGTATAAGAGATAACATATCAGGGAGTCTATATGGAGACTGCCATGAATTACTTGCCCAAAATGTTCGCATGTCCGTACACACTTGGCAACAAGTTGCAGCAACACGTCGCGGCGACAGATCACTCCATGTGTACAGGTCGGGCGACTAGTTGGAGCAACAAGGTGAGGTCACACGTCGCAGCGACAAATCGCTTCGTGTGTACTGGAGAATTTTGTGAAAATCTTTGTCTCCGCAACACAATTTTGTCGCTGCAACAAGTCGCAAAAAATTAAATCAGACTGAATCTGTGCGACTTGTTGCGGCGACAAAATTCTGTTGCAGCGACAAAGATTTTCACAAAATTCTTCAGTACACACGAAGCGATTTGTCGCTGCAACGTGTTGCCGCGACATGTTGCTACAACTTGTCGACTAGTGTGTACCGACTTTTATCCTTCAGATTGGCGCTTCCTTCTGCGGTATCCAGCAGCATTTTGAGACAGGGTTTTATACTACGTGCTTACTAAGCGAACTTCGTTAGAAAGCATGCGTGTTGGTTATGAGTCTCAAACAGAGTTTAATATAGAATGGCAAACTTGAACAGATGGCAACGGGAAACATTTTGCCTTAAAACTAGACCTGAAATTAAGAATAGGGTAAGTACTTTAACATTTAGAACTTTGCTCGTGAATATTACCAAGACTTTTTAGGACAGACGTTTCATGAGCCTTTGCCTGGTCGGCTGACGATGGTCACGTATATGTTAAAGATGGCATTACTTTACGTTGTCTGTAAAACGATTTTCAAATAATTTCTGAGAAGCTCAAAATGATTTCCTCAAAATAATTTTTACATAACAAACGTTTGATTCCTGTAGTGTATTTCCCTTCAATCTGATCAAAGGCACATGATGAAAATCGTCGCTGTGTTCAACGACCTTTCGTGGGTAAACATCAGGTAGCCCTACGCTTTAGCTTTTTTATAATTACTCAGACTGTTGTAATGCTAAAAATTATTATATATTTTGATCAACAACGAATTAAAATTAAAATTTTAGCAATAAGTTTTTTTCCTAGCGCGGTTGTATTGGAACGAGAGTCCAGCGAATCATGATGAATTTCAACCCTGTTTTTGGCTTGCGAAATCGACGGTGGGACTTGAAACGGTTTTCTTCGTTTTTATCGGAAACGAACAGATCTTTCGAAGAAAAAACTACATAGCGTTTGTATACTTACTAAATGCATAAAAACTATAAGAAGAATATTCTATTCAAAATACAAGTCGGTCACGTGTCGTTGTGTTTTGAACGGAAGAGCCCAGTTCGAACCAAGAGCCATAATAGGACAGAGAGGGACTCTCAGGGCGTTGGCCGGGATATCTTAATCCCAAAAAAGTTATTTTTAGAACTATGCGGACCATGCGAAAACAGTTTCCGGTAAACTGGTTGACTTCCGGAAGACTCGCTTTCACGATTTCAGGGCGCCAAAGCGAGGCGGCGTCAACAAATAAAAAAAATGGCGGCACAAGTGGAGGGACGATGTGAAGTTGATAAATTGGCCTTCTTCAACAAAGAACCTACCATAGAAACTGCTTTAAATTTCTACACAAAAGGGTCCTTTACAAGTAATGGTAGAAATCGTTAAAAGCGACCGCGTAACCATCGTTTTTGTTTGAACAGCTGGAAAGAGGACAAGTAGCATTGCGGCCCGGATAAGCCGGGATAAGCGTTGGAGACAAAATGCGCGCTTCCTACAAAGACGACCGTACAAGCAACCATGTGGACGTATTTTCTATTGAAAGAGGAAGGAAAAGAACGTATAAAGGTTTCCAGTATTTTTGTCACGGACATGACCGGGAATCTTGTGGAACACACCTTTTCCTGCTTGACTGATATTTTGTTCCGCACTTCACATTGGACAATTAGCAATTCTTTATTGAACACGAGGTTAATAGAAGCGGAGGTTAATGTTCCTAATCAGTAAAGAAACCAAAAAGCTCAATTTGATTGACGGATCAAATCATGCGTGGAAATCGGTAAACAATATTATAGGTTTCATCTTTACAGAATTTTCAAACATTGAAAATCAAATCCGAAACAATAGCCTATATGGGTTGTATGGAATCGCCAGAAGTTTGAATTGTACTTTCAAACCCAAGAAGAAAAGTAGAGCTTTGTTTTCATCTGTCGACTCGCCAAGTTAGAGGAAAAAGGTTTTTTGTGCAGCTAATTTGTACGTGCTGTTCTTTGTAGTGCAGACAATGGTGGCCCGGTTGCTTGAGGTAAGGAGCCGTTTCTCTGTAGTTTCCTCTGACCTGTTTAATTGAAATCTCGAGCTTTCGTTAACATTTGCTTTCATTTTTTTTTCTCATAAATCAGTTGAATTTGATTTCGGGGGAAAATTTGTCTTTAAAGGAAATGTTGAGTTCACCCACCCCTTCTACTCGATTAAACTGTAATTGTCAACATTCCATCGAGCAAAAAATATTGAAACTTTGAAGTATTTTCATACCTTCAAAAGAGTGGACCCTAGGATTTTGCCGAATTCTGAAAGGTTCTTACTCTAAAAAAATTAGCAAAACAACGAGCTCACGAATTGTTTACTCCCGAGGTTAAAACACTATCACTGAGTGTGTATCCTGAAACTGATTTTTGCTTGTAAAAACTTTATTTGTGTAAGGTTATTTGTTTTTTTCATGTTGCAAACGGTGTTGAAATAAATACGACAGTATGATAATCTCATCTGGAGTTTGTTTTACCAAGCCTCATATTTTCCTCATACACCTGTAATAATTAACCTTTACAGATCCTGCACCACAATGGTAAGATTTCCATACAACCCCAAACATTTGTTATGTGTGTTAAAATTTAAATAATATAAGCTTGCTGCATGCATAATAAATGTAGGGGTTTGGATGCACAGGACCTTTTCATGTTGTGTTTGCCACTTATTGATCCAGCAAGTTTTGTCTACTTTAGTAAGCACTCATGGTGTTAGGTGTCGGCTGCTGAATGTAGTCTTTTCTTTTTTTTCTCTATAGAAAGCACTCAAAAGTGATAAGAATATAAACTACTGCAATAAGTTCAAGCTGTGTATAGCTTCTTGTTTATAATTATGTCTTATTTCTTGTACCTCCCCTCCTCAGTGAAAGCCTCTCATTTTCTACATTGTATGGTATGCAGACCCCATATTAAGCAGACACCCTGTATTCAGCAGTCGAATAGCTCAAAATGTGGCAAAACGTTTCTTTCCACAATTTAAGAAAAACAAACCAGTATTTAGTGGATATCTCTAATAAGCAGAAAGTAGCAAAGTTTGTGTGGATGTCCCCCTAATTCTAAAAATTATACAGGTTTTTTTGATTTATTTATAACAACCTTGTATGCATAAAAATAGGTGGTAAAAAGAAGGATTAGTGAGGGTGCAAAGAGAGAAGAACTGAGTCCTTATGCCAGGCTGGCTCCCTCCCTGAAGATATAATATAAAATACAACATGTAAAGGTTTCATAAAACTGGTACATCATTTTTATGTTGTGTGTCTTTTAGACTCTGAGCAGTCTCTCTTCAGCTTGAAAATCTGTAAGCGAGAGTATTTGAGCAGCGAAGTTGCGTGAGTTGCGAGGGCGCAAATTCGAATACGCTGCTCAAATACTCTCGCTTACACATTTTCAAGCAAAAGAGAGACTGCTTGCATGCAGGTGCATAAATTGATTAACTCACCAATGAAAGAAACTTGACCTAATTAAGAGGTCAAGGTGTGACCAAAGGTTTTATTTTAATGTGATACTGCCATTTTTAACTTAAACCCTTCCTCAATGAAGGTCATATTCTCAAATACTGATCAGCTTAACTGATAATAACAGCCTCAATTTCCTGTGATGTCTTAGTGGTTGCATGAGGCCTGATCAATCATAATGTGTAGGCCAGCAACATGTGAATTTATTAGATTATTTAAAGGGAAAGATTGGGTGTGTCATGGTGGATGCCTTAAAAGCAAAAGATCACACAAACTTGCTCTGCCTGCAGACTCGGCTTTAAGAGCATCAGAAATGCAACATTAATATCAATAAAGTCAATGTTTAAACATGTTGAAATGCAAAAAGGTGCTCACTTTACTATTGTCTGTATTATACTTCTGATTGGTTTAGGCAGCAAAATTCAAGAAAAATTTGCAAAGCAGCATGTATATGAATCCTTATAACAAAATCTTATGAGTCTGAAGAAAACAGA